CTTGTGGCCCTTATGCTTGTGCTCGGAGTGTGTGGTGACGTTGTGATCCACCCTGAGCTTGCATTGCTTTTCTTGACTGGTCTTGTGACCCCTTGTTCTCCCCCACTTTGCCTATGGGGGTGTGTCAAACTATATATATGCTATGGTATAATGGGTAGGCTATAGTGGGGTAGCCAACATGGGGTACAACCCCTTTAGGTTTTGTACTTGTACCAACTCTCTTGATAGTTTACACCATTTCTACTTGTACCAAAAATATCTTATCAAGGAGCTCGTTGGGATGTGGGAGCTCAGTCGTCAACATGGTAAGCCTTTCGTAAGACTTAACAGGGAAATTATAGGTTCGGTTGGAAAATCGAAAAACAATCCCGTCGAAAACCAACGGAAAATCTGGACCAATTGCGTGAAAGTGGTGACACTTTGCCACCCGACTCGGTAATTCTGGCCTGCGCCTTTAAGAAAGATACATCCATTGCATCTCTAACTGTACTAGACAGCGTGCTGGTCCCGTGCCTGCCAGGGCAAACTTCAGACGTCTTTGGGTCCATCCATCCATCCATCCATCCATCCGTTGGGCACATACACACATGCGCAACATGTTACCGTATAACGCTCCGCTCCACACTAAAGCACCACTGCATCAACCTCGTCAGGCCTTGACCTATTGCTGCCGCCTCTCGTTTTCTTCTTCGTCTTCTTCCCATCCGAACCGCTCCCCACCGCACCACCACCGCCACTGCCCCCCTTTCCTCCTTCCTCCCTGGTAACCGGCAACCCACCAGTAGAAAACCCAGGCCGTTCAAACACAGGCGCATAATCAAACACCATCGCTTCCCTTACAGTCACACCCACCCCTTCAAACGTCCACACTTTGAGTTTCGCCGAGCCTTTGATTCCGACAGCCACCCAGCCAAGCCCGGCTATAGCCACGTCAGCGCTGCTCTGGTCCCACCGCGTGCCCTCTACTGTAACGGAACGTGGTAACCACATTCCGAGGTCTGCCATGCGAGATGCCTCTGCTGGCGGCTGGGAAGTGGTTGGGTGAGAGAGAGGGTTGGAGAGGGGGAGACGGAGGTGGGTTGAGTGCGGCGGGGATGGAAATGCGAGCGATGGAGGTGGGCAAAAGAGAATGATAGATTCAAGCTGGATATTTAGCTGGAAACGTAGGTGAGGGAAAGACAAAACAAGACTTAAGCTGGTGGAACAGCGCACTCAGAGGAGTGGAAAAAGACGACTCAGAAGACCACCATACCTCCAATCACCGAACCTGCAACCACCGAACCTGAACCCACCGAACCTGCAATCCCCATACCTGCAGCTTCACCCCAACGTGCTTCTCCAGCACAGCAGGCGCGTTGGCGATCTTGCCCATGTGGCACGCTATCATTGGCGAGAGCCACACCGTCAGATAGATGGACTCTGCTGCTGCCTCCTCCACATCCACCCGCGCTAAGCCTCCCAGCAGAACGCACTGCCCTGGCTGTGAAGGGGAGAAGGTGTGTGAAGGAAGTGGGAGAGAGGGGGAGTTGGGTTGTCAGATAGATCGACTCGGCTGCTGCTTCCTCCATGTCCACCCGCGCTAGTCCTCCCAGCAGAATGCACTGCCCTGGCTGCACAACAGAAGGGCAAGATGTGACAGTATGAGGGGAGAGAGGGGTGGATGGGAGGGGAGGTGAGGGTTGCTGCTGCCTCCTCCACGTCCACCCGCGCTAGTCCTCCCAGCAGAATGCACTACCCTGGCTGGAAGAATGAGCGGAAAAGGAGATAGTATGAGGGGAGGGAGGTGGATGGGTGGGGAGGTGAAGGGTGTTTCTGCCTCCTCCAAGTCCACTCGAGCCAGCCCTCCAGCAAAACGCACTGCCCTCGCTACAAAGGAAGTGGGGAGCGGAGAGAAGATTATTTGAGACGCGAGGGAAGTGAGGGTTGGGTGGGAGGGAGGAGACAAAGGAGGGTCTTTTCTCACCTTCTTGGACGACACGGAAGACGAGGGAGGGTTTATGAGAATTCTCAAAAATACGAGCTGGTCTTTGAGAATTCTCAAAAATACGAGCCGCACCGACAGCTGGTGGGGGTGTGCCTATGTGCCCATCATTCCATGCATAAACCCCAAACGTTTGGGGTTTCTACTCACCTTGATGCAAAACGTGCGGGGCTTGAGCGCCTTCCTAGGCACAACCACCTTCAGCTCCTCCCTGCTCAGCCGCACCGACAGCTGGTGCGGGTGCAGCAGCCTTGGTGTGTCCATCACTCTCACTCTAAACCCCGAACCCTAAACTCCAAACCCCACCCCATCTTCTCACCTTGATGCGGAACGTGCGGGGTTTAAGCGCCTTTCTAGGCACAACCACCTTCAGCTCCTCCCTGCTCAGCCGCACCGACAGCTGGTGCGGGTGCAGCAGCCCTGGCGTGTCCATCACTCTCGTCCTTCCCCCCAGCACCCCCTCTATAGGCACCACCCCTATAGTCGTCCCCGGCACCCATGCCTCTGTCAACCCCACTCCCCCTCCTCCCCCTCCTCCTCCTTTCCCTCCCTTCTTCCCGGCCCTCCCTCCTGCTCCCTTCCCAGCCATCCCCGCTCTCCCTCCGCCCTTCCCGCCCTTCCCCCCTGTCTTCACAGCAGCAGCAAGGGCGTTAATCAGAGAGGATTTCCCTGCGTTCTGCGCCCCAACCACCCAGACGTCTCCCCTGGGTCCTGCCAGTGTGCCTAGCTGAGAAGCCAGATACCCCACCCCAAACCCCGTCTTGGCGGATAGTAGATGCAGCGATGTGAGACGAGGCAGGCCGCCCGCTTTGGCCCGCCGGCGAATCCACTGCTCCAGTCGGAGCGGCGAGACTTGGGGCGGCAGAAGGTCGGCTTTATTCGCCGCGAGGATGAGACGAAACGTGTTGCTGCCGCCCGGAGGCCCTGCTGCCTTGCCATCCGCCTGGGATTCCTTCCATTTGCCCGCGGCCTCAGCTTCTGCCCGGGCTAAAAGTTCGGCTGCCCGGCGCGGGAAGGACCCGTCGAAATCTGCTGCGTCCACAACCACAAGCACGACTGCCCGGCGGCCGTAAGCTGCCCGAAGACGCTGCCCGACAGCCCTCTCAAAATCAAAGTCGGGCAGAAGATTTTCCACACTCTCGTCTTTCACCTGCCCGTAGTTCCTCAGCGCGTGGCACCTGGCACAAACCACCAACTTTCCATCTTTCTCCTGCCCGTTCATTTCTCCCTCCTCCTCCTCCGCCTCTCCCTCCACCTCCCTCCCCTTCATCCGATCTCTTCCACCCCTCGTCGCCCCTCTGGAATCTCGCTTCAGCTCGTCTGTTCCGTTTCTCTCCATCTGTTCCTCCCAAGCCTTTGCCCAAGCCTCCTCATCAAACTCCTCTTCCTCCTCTTCCTCCTCTTCCTCCTCCTCCTCTTCGTCATTCCCATATTCACGGGCATCACTGCCGCCTTTCCTGCCGCTTTTCCTGGAAGCTTCCGCAGCCAGGTCAGCATCGAGATCATCGTCCACGTCGAACTCCTCGAAACCCGTGCCCACGTCATCCACAACATCAACCTCAACGGGAGGAAGCTTCACCTCCACAAGTTTTCCCGGGCTGCCCCGATTCTTTAGGTCAAACTCCGTCCACATAGCAACTTTTTTCCTGCCCGCAGCTTCCTCATCATCTTCTTCCATTAAACCCTCTAATTCTTCCAACTCCTCTTCATCTATCCCCTCATCGTCCCCTAAACCCAGAGCCTCGGCGGATCTAGCAGGGTCGAGTGCAGCAGGGAGGACGAAGAAACCAGGAAGCTTCGGATCCTCGCTTTGCATGGAAACGCCACAGCCCGGGCAAATTCCTGGCACCTTCCCCGCAACTCCCGCTGCGCCTTCCTCTCCCACACCTTCCGCTGAAGCGACAGCCGCCGCTGCCCTCAGATCTAATCGTTTCCGGTAGCCGCCTGAACTCGCGACCTTTCGTCTTCCATGCGGGACCTTCACGCCACGTGGGAAAGATCCTGCGAGCCCTCGAGACTGGCAGCCCTGGAAAAAGGGGGAAGTCGACACAGGCGACACGAGTCCGCGGCTCCAGGATGGCGTAAAAGCTGCGTGCGCGGGAAGGCCATGGGTAATGGTAGTGTGGGCGATGGGCGAATGGGAGAGCGTTCGCAGGGCGGGGAGGAGCGACGAACGCGGCGTAGGAGACGGTAAGCGTGCAGCGCGATTGAGACCGTGGCTACACCTGCCTCCCGACGCGAAAGCGCGTAGCGCGCTCATTAGGGGCCGGCAGAATGCTCTGGATGAAGCTACTGACGTCAGCATACAGCGGGTTTCCAACAAGAGTGTGATGAAATCGAGGTGGTGGTCGTCGTCTTTGCATCGAAAATAACGTAAGCGTCAGCAGCCCCGCCACCACAACCAGGGGTTGCAATTCGGTTGGGCTGGGTTGGGTTTGCTCCCACTCGACCGAATTGAAGTAGTGAAAATTTTAAAAGATGGCTGACATCCACATCAGGCTTAATTTGATTCTACTAGCGCTGTTTTCTGTAACGTGTATTTCACCTGGGAAGGGTTGGGTGGTGGGGTGGGGGTATGGGATATTTGGCTTGGGGAGAAAGGAGGCTGGCAATCGCGGGGCGCGTTTGAAACACCGAGGCGCGCCAGCAATTCCCACAATTTCCCACATGTTTTGCGTTGCTCTTTTTGAGATGGGACCTGGCTGGGATGGGTCGCTTGCTCTGCGTGCCACTCACGAAAACAAACGAGACCAGTCGCGAATACATCTCGCACAAGCTGTCGGCCTCCATTACCCCAGGTAACAGTTCGCCAACAAAAACCACGCTCAAGCCCTTCATCTGCAGCACCCAGCCCTTCAAAGATTATTGCCAGTATTCATGTAGTCAAGAGAACACACGGTTCAAACACACAGCCAGTACAGCTTCTCCCTGTTCGCCACAGAGCTTCCCTAGAATTGCTAGCAGTAGCATCTATTTCAGCGCGACATTCGACCAGCAACCATCCTCTCACTGCTCCATCATGGCCCCGAAATTTCTCCTTGTGCTCGCCGCTGTTCTAGCAACCACGTCCCTATGTCACGGAGCCCGACCACTCTTCACAGCGCTACTGACCTCCGATCCCTATGCCGCGCAAGCCGTTAACGTTGAGGAGGGGAGCGATGCGGCGAAGAATCTGTTGGCAGAGGCAGATGTGGCCGCTGCTGATAACGATAACACCGCCAGCGTAGCCGGAGGTGAGGAATTTTCTTGTACTGCCTTATTCGGCTTCTTATTGCTATCTTACCACGCGATTTCCCTCACTTTTTATCGTAAACGCCGCCTATTTCTTACGGGTTTCAATGTTTCCTACTCCGTCCCCTGGTTTCCAGCTACCAGGATCGTCTCGACTGCCGCTGATAACGACAACGTCGCATCAGCTATCCCTGAGATGATTCCAGCTGACGTCGACAGCAACTCCGTCGGATTCTTGACGGCGTCCGTCTCCCTGCCAGGTTCCGACAACGTCATCGCCGCTTTGGGCGTTCCGCGCAGAAAGGGCTCTCTGGTCTCCGTCATCGACGACCCCACCGATAACACCGCTTCTGTCCGCATATCCGAGTCTGCTGCTGCAGTTGTTGCTGACCTCAGCGCTGCGACAACGGTGACCTTCGACGACCCCACCGATAGCACCGCTTCTGTCCGCGCATCCGCCTCTGTTCCTACCATCGTTGACGATCTGAGCGACAACACCGCGTCTGTTGCGACGACGACGATCGTCGACGACCCTACAGATAACACCGCGTCCGCTGTCGCATCTGCTGCGACTGTCATCGACGACCCCACAGATAACACCGCCTCTGTTAGGACCAGCGATGCGCAGGACGAGGCAACGACGACGGCGTATGTCTCCCTTCCCGGATCAGACAACGTGATTTATGCGTACCACGCGCCTGCTCGTCGGGAAGGTACGCTGGTCGTCGTGAACGGCGAGGGCAGCACTTAAAACCAACCGGCTAGCCGTCGGTTCGCGACAGTCGCAGGGCTGCTAGAAGATGGTGGGCTGGATTGAATGTATGAGCTCCCAAGGATCTGGCTGGCGGAACAGCTGGTTTGGAGATACTGATGTTGGTCGCACAGGATGCTGCATCTCGCTTTCGAGACCCATGGTAGTTGCCTCTTTGTCATTGTGTGAGGCAGCTTGCCCAATAAGCAGCTTTCACCTGGCCTTCTACGTCCTTTGTTTCGTTTGTAAATCAAGCTTCATTTTGTACTTGTCTACTACAATCCTCTTCTGCTTATCTAACCTGGTCACAAGACACAATAATACTTGTTAGATTTGGTTCTCTGAACGTTGTCTTGATGCGGAGATTCCTTTTTCAGGGTTGATAATAGGCCGATGGAAAGAGTTTGGCTTCACTGAATCGTGTGAACAATTTGGGTGCCCCTTGAGTATAATTTGGATAACTTAGAAATCCATTCACAACCACACAGATGTACGTACTCGTCCGATAACTGTTCGCACTCTATAGGGAGGAAATTTCATGTTGCTCCAACTACACCTAACCACCGCTATTTTCTTTCGGTCTATTTTCAACCCCACTTGCACAAGTGGGGTATGCACCCTTTTTTAATCTTTGACCGAGGGTTGTGTGGGGCATCATTAAATTTTAGCGAGAGTCTGTTCCAGATCCCCGAAGAGAGTACTGTAGAAGTGGCGCTATGGATTCGGATTCGCATAATGAGTTTAAACTTCGAGCATTAGGCGTCATTCATAGCCCCAGTCATATAAGTGTCGACCTGAAATAGTCTAAAACGTGCAGGGTAACTTTGAAACGCGAGATTAGTGGGTTGGGTTTCCCCTTGAAAATAGCGGTGGTTAGGTGTACAGTACAGTAGTCCTTGTGGTGCTGCGATTCGGCAGTGGCCCACACGGCATCCCACACTCGCCGAACCGCACATTTGAGAGGGCAGGGCAGCTCTCTCCGATGGGATGGATGATGGACATGAGGACGCGTCAACTCCCAGCAATGTATCAGGTTCGAGGCAAGATCGGCAGTGCACACCGATCTTGGCAGGTTCGATGTGCACACCAGTGTGCTCTACCTGCAAATCGGCAGTGTACCCCTACCATCGAGCCACACTTGACTAGGGTATTTGCAGGTTCGGGGTGCTGGGTTGGCCTGCCGCATGCTGCAATTCCGCCTTCGCAGGGTGTCGCAAAGTGTGTTTCCCAACAGTGTCTGTGCGACTTGACTTGGGCTGACCACAGTGGCTTGAACACAACCACCTTCCCGCTGTTGCACAGGGTGGCAGGTTTTGTCGTTGCTGCGACTCTGACATGTGTCGTTCGGAACCATGTGCGACGCCGATCGATCGCGGCTGTCAACTAGCGCGCGATGGTAGCTTCTGCTCACCAAAATGCCACGATCGGTGTGTGGCAGGTGGCAAGGTGTCCCGAGATCCGGACAGGACATCGGGAGTGTTGGCCGGTTTACTGTGCAATGGCGAAACCTGACGAAAACTGGCAACAAGACACTTCGTTAGCTCGTGAATGTACTGTATATATGACACATCGATCCTACGGAGGATCGATGTGCCCAAAGTGCTGGGAGTTGACGCGTCCTGAGAGATCCATGCAATTCCGCTCCGCACCGCAACACTTGCCCACACAAGCCCACGAAATCCACCTGTCAAACAACACGAACGAACCAAAACATCGAAAGACTGGCGCGGTTCGGTCATTGGAGCCCAATCACTAACTACAGGTTTTGTTGGAATGCATCCCCAACTAAAGCCACATTAGTATGCAACGGTGCTCAGCATATTTTCGTACACGGCCTTCTCCTCTGGAAGCCTGAGAAAAGGTACCCGTAAGCCACGCGAACCTTGGGCTCCTAGTTGATCTGTACAGCTATCATGGACGTCAGAATTCAAGCGGCTCTTTTGCTCTGCCTCCTCTCCTCGCCGATTTTCTGCCACGCGTCGCGCCCGTGGCGGGCAGAAACTTCGACGCACGACCCGTCGGCCCAAGAGACGTCGCGTTCAGAGTCCACCGAGCCGCTCGGTCTGGACGAACTCCGGCCGGACACAGGAATCCGCGTCCCGGAATCTGTATCGACGGCGCTTTCGGCGTGGGACGACGACGACAATAATTTGAGCGCCACGGCCGTTGACGGAGCCGCGGCGGCGGCGGCAGCAGCGGCGGCGGAGGCGGCGGATGATGCATTTCGTGCGTCGAATGGCCCCGAGTCGGAAGGTTGGAGCGAGGACGGGGCGCTGCAATCGGAAGAAGACAACATGAACGTGGTTGTAGCGGGGCAAAACAGCGTCGTGACTTTTAGCGAGGAACTTGTAGCGGACGAAATTCCCTCGGATGTAGCGGAGGTTATCCCCACGGCTGTAGCGGAGTTCCCGGCAGTAGGCAGCGACTTGGAGGAGCGCGACAATGTGGCGGTAGCGGGGCAGAATACGGTCGTAATCTTTGCAAAAGAAGCCACTGCCGTTGGCGGCGAAACAGATACAGCAGAGAAGGCGGAGGTGAAGTCGGGTGCGGAAGAGAAAGCGGAAAAAAAGGCGGAAGAAAAGGCGGAGGTGAAGGCGGAAGAGGTGGCGGAGGAAGGCACGGAGGGGCAGGACATCGCGGCGGAGGTGGAGGCGGCGGCGGAGGAAGCCGCCGCCGCCGCTGCTGAGGCGGCAGCAGCTGTAGCGGCGGACTCGGAGGCTGTAGCGGAAGGCGACGTGGTGAGCTCCGACGGCAACGAGAGCCCAGCAGACGGTGAAACAGAGGGTGCTCCGGCCGAGACGGCTGTATCAGCGGGCGCGGAGTCTGTAGCGGAATGCGACGCGGTGAGCTCAGAAGGCAGCGAGAGCCCAGCAGACGGGGAAACAGAGAGTGCTCCCGCAGAGGGCTCTGAAACGGCGAGCCCTGAAACGGAGACTTCTGCAGCGGATGCCCCTGAAACGGAGAATCCTGAAACAGAGACTTCTGCGTCAGCGGATGCTGGAACAGCAGAGTCTCAGTCCACTGAGGCAGCAGATACGGAGGCGGAACAAACTGCAGATTCGCATTCCGGCGCTGAAGATTCTGAATCTGGGAGCATAACCAGCGAGAGTAGCCCTGCCAGCGAGAACGAGGGCGATTCTGAGGGTGCTGCTGCTGACGGTGCGATAAGAACTCTGGATGATGGGCCGACTGCGGAAGAGATTTTGCCGGAAGGGTCTGACGGATTGGAAGAGGGAGCTGCTGCAGTCGCCGTCCAGTAGAGGCAGTGAGATAATATGCGAGAATAAAGCAGCGCACATAAATGAATAATGGTACCATATGTCCGTTCGTGCCCTGCCTATTCAGTAAATAGCTTGTCCGTTCCTGCCCCTTCCCAGGGCACTGCTGCTAAAAAATCTTGTGTTTGTGTTGCTTATTAAGCACCATTTACCTTTTCAATTGTGACAGCAAGCAACACCATTTGTATGCTAGCTGCAGGATAGAACAAAGCTCTTAGGTGTAAGGAATTTTCCTTACTGCACTGCTCGCTCAACATAGTGTACAAGACCGACCGTTCTTCGCCCGTTACAGCTAACAGAGTTTTCGTCGCCGTCGTGCGCTGCATTTACCAAACCATGCATCACTGGCCTGGCCGAGTCGGCCTACGCTTCATGACTAGCCCGAACCGCGCTGTCAGCATCGCACCACCTATCTCTCATGCACCGCGTTACCGTTTGCATGTTTCGCTTTTAGGTAATCGCTCGTGCCTTCACTCATACTTTGGACTCTTTTGACAACCTACCCCGCTACATTGCACCTGTACATTTGCCATCCGTCAGATAGAAGGACAGACAGTTTGATTTGATTGAGCGGTACCGTACTGTGGATAATCGCTACAAAAATGGAACCACTAAAAAGTGAACTATCTAGGCATCCTGAAGCAGAGGATACCGATGTTGGAAACAATCGGTCTTAGGCGCCTCTGTCGTGTCGAAACACTAAGGCACAAATGAAGCAGAGCATATCAAAGCACCGGCGAGTCAACCCTCGGAGGTTGAAGCAACCGCTGGAGGTTACGGGGAAGTCAAAGGTCAGCGACCTTTGACCTGACAAATAGAGCGCGACAGCAAGGACACACAACTGACTCGCTACAGAGCAGTTGCCCGAGTCGTCGCTGTATCGAACCGCAACAGCAACAGTAAAGTAGTTACAACCGTACCTCTTCGTATTCCTTGTACTCTTATATATATTCTTGTATCTCTTTGTTTTAATCAATCTACTTTGCCCTCACATACTAGCGCAAGGTGGTTCACAACTCTTTAATTGACGCTTCCGCTATTACACCAACTCTACCCAGATTTCACCCCTGTAAAGATCCTAAGGGCTTTTTCAGCCCAACATGGTATGAGAGCTATCAGGGGGAATTCAACTTCTATACCGGGAACATCAACAGGCATGGCTACACAAGAAGAAAGGAGCAACTCCAACGGCTCCCAGGGCACTACACCTACTCCACCTCCTGCCTCTGGCCTACAGACAGAGGAGGGCACGGCAACGAGACCAAGGGCGACGTCTACCGAGACTCCCACGAACCAACCTGCAGACTTCGACCAGAGCATGATGGAGAAGTTCTTCTCCTTCATGTCCTTCTACGAGCAACACCAGCAATTGGCACCTGCGCAGTCACACAACAGCAACAACAACGGAGCAACGCCTATGAGTCTCGACGGCTCATCATATGCACGAGGAAATCAACAACAACAGCCTACCTTTGCTCCGTACGAACGCGGGTCCATCAGCTTCATGCCACACCCACAGCCTTCACCTGGACAAGAAAGGTCACTGGACGCATTACAAGTTCAGTCGCAGTTCGCACACGTTCTGAAGATGCAGACGTCAAGACCATTCGATGGAAAGGACTTCTTCACCTGGTCGTTTGAATTCGAGCTGATGATGGAAGGCGCGCAGATACTTGGCTTCTTCGACGGGTCCCTGCCATACCCAACAAACGGCACACAGTACGAGAAGCAGCAGTACACCTATCAGTCAATGATGGCGTACACGATTCTACTGAGGAACATCACCCCGACTCAACAGCAGAACATACGATCTTACCGGGGTTACGGCAACTCCGCGGAGCTCGCGTACAACCACCCGAAGAGCCTGTATCAAGCAACAGACAGCGTAAGTCAAAGTCGGTTAATGGCGCAACTGACAACAGTTGAAATGAAACCGGGAGAAAAGGGAATGGCATATATCAGCCGTTGTCGCGAACTGCGCGACAAGCTCCTTCGATGCGGAGGGTCGATATCTGAAGACGCCTTCGTGACAGTTATCATCGGCGGCCTCGGTCCTCAATGGCGCGCCACGAAAGCTATTCTCCGAGCACATGGAAGAATCTCCGAAGCAGCACTCTGCGCCGAAATCCACGCCGAGCAACAAGACATGGATCTGCAAGAAGAACGACACAAAAAGAAGACATCAGCACCGGAATTCGCGTTCCACACTCAGCGACGCTACAACAACAACAACAACCGGCAGCAGCAACCGAAGCCAGTACCTCCGTTCTGCGACATCTGCAAGACATCAGGGCACCCGCGCACGCACTGCCCGAATCGTCAACAGTCAACAACTCCACAGCGGCAACTTCGACCTTCAAGCAGCCAAATCGCCTCAACGCAAGCAAATCCCACGACCCAGGTTCAAGCTTCAACAACTTCAACGGGACAACCTGCACAAGGAGCAAGAAACATCGTCAGCTGCATGGCAAAGCTGAGTGACTCCTGCATCACCGGGTCACCACCACACTACTCACCGGAAGAACAACTCGACGAAACCACACCCCGCCGCGAGTCACTTCAGCCGAACCCGACATACGCCGCCATCGCCCAAAGCGAACCATCCGGAAAGGACACATGGTTCTTGGACAGTTGCTGCGGACAGCACATGTGCTCCTCGGGACGCTTCGTTCAACGAGAACACCAACTTCAACGCGAAGTCGTCATTACAGTCGCCAACAATCAGAACCTGCGAACACGACGACAAGGCGTAGTTCAACTTCAGTCAAGGGAAACAAACGTTATACTGCAGATGTCAAAGGTACTAATCGCGGAGGGACTCGGCTACAACTTACTGAGCGTCAGTCAGTTGATGGCGAAGGGCATTCACCTCGAGGCAGACAGCACCACCCAAGAATTCAAGCTGTATCACGGGAGAGGAGGACTTTACATCGGCAAGGCGGTCCTCAAGAACAACGTCTTCGTTCTTGACTTCGTTCCTGATCTTGGCACCGCCGACAGCGACGCCATCGTTAACTTCACCAACTGGACACACCCTCCAGACCTTGATCCAGACTTCAGTCCAGAAGGCTTCTGGTACTCACACACCATCCCTGAAGCAGAAAGAACAAGGGCGTTAGCAACAATTCAGACAACATCGGCAGCAGCAGAGACAACATCGGCAGCAGCAGAGACAACATCGGCAGCAGCAGAGACAACATCGGCAGCAGCAGAGACAACATCGGCAGCAGCAGAGACAACATCGGCAGCAGCAGAGACAACATCGGCAGCAACAGAGACAACATCGGCAGTAGCATAACCATCAACGGCAGCAGCAGGAACGTCAACACCAATTGCTGGTCCTTCAACGGCACCGCTCCTCATCGACGACACACCACCGACACCCGCGCAACAACTACACCCAGCACCACGAGAAGTTCATCGTAGCGCCAACTTCACCGCCAACTTCTACTCCAACTCCGATCTGTACCGACGATCACCCGGACATCGCGCCGACGAAAGCACCTGGCACGCAAGGATGGGACACCCAAGCAACACAGTATTAAATAATACGATAAGATCAGGAGTACTTGACAAGGACTCACTACTACTGACCGACGGAAGAGAACTTCAACGAGTACGCGGAACGTGCTTCACCTGCCCTGAAGGTGACTTACCACATCGACCGTTCGCGTCTCACCATAACCCAAGCGCACCAGCTTACGCGCCAAACGAGAAGGTGTACAGCGACATCCTGTACAATCGCGAGCCGGGGCAGAACACATACAACTACACCATCACGTTCATCGACGCCGCGACACGTTACGTTTGGCACCTAAATCTTCCAAGCAAGGATATGGCGTTCGAAGCGTTCGTCGCCTGGCTCCCCGTAGCAGAAAGGGAATCGGGCGTCAAACTAAAGAGCTTCTAGTCAGACGGGGGAGGAGAATACACCTCACAGAGGTTCAAGCAGTACTTGGCTGAAAGAGGAATCAAGCGGCTCATTTCCCTTCCCTACGCCCATCAACAGCAGGGTGTAGCAGAGAGGATGAACAGGACCCTCCAGAACACCATGCGAAAACTGTTACGTGGCATGCGGCTACCCACTCACCAGTGGCCAGAAGCAATGGACCACGCCGTGATGCTGCACAACTTGCTTTCTTCGTCGTCACTACCGAACAACACATCACCGCATCTGCTGTGGACAGGAAAACTGGGCAGCACAAAAATGTTACGAGTCTTCGGCTGCATGGTACAGTACCGACCTCCATCTGCACGAGCAGGACGATTCTCCCAACGGGCACAGTGGGGACTACACCTGGGCATCGAAAAACACTACAACGCATGGAAGATTTTCGACGTCGAGACAAAAGAAACAGTGGCAGCACGTGATGTCATTTTCTACGAGCGGCTCACCTTGCAAACGTACCTTGCCAACCTGGACGAAAACCAAGACCCCACAGGTGGCTTCCGTGGAGACCGAGCCTTCGCTTCGGCAGAAGACGAAGCTGACTGGGACGAGCAGAACGTGGAAGGAGCCTCGGAAGAAGCCGGACCCCTCCCGTACTGTTCCGTCGATGTCCCAATGGATGACGAAAATCCACGTGAAAGCAACAACGCCGAAGCCTTTTACCACTTCGCCGACAACGGTTACGTTATACCTGCACAAGTCAACACCGACGAAGCAGAACGCGTAGGACCTAACTTCGCACCTGATCCAGAAGCGGGAGACGAAGCAGTTTATCCAGAGGATACTTCACTCCCTCGCTACACACAGAGTGGGCTCCAAATCCTCGGTCTCGTCACCGCAGTCCACGGCGCAGCCATTCCTAAAGAGCCTGCGACAGTTCAACAGGCTCTGGGGGGGGAGCATAAGGAAAAATGGCGCGAAGCCATGGACAAGGAACTGAAGGCACTGGAGGAACGCAACACGTGGAAAGTAGTTCCCATCGGCGTAGCACGGAACAAGACCATTCTCACCGGGAAATGGGTTTTCCGCGTGAAGACGAAGGCTGACGGCACAATTGACAAATTCAAGGCACGATGTTGGAAACAATCGGTCTTAGGCGCCTCTGTCGTGTCGAAACACTAAGGCACAAATGAAGCAGAGCATATCAAAGCACCGGCGAGTCAACCCTCGGAGGTTGAAGCAACCGCTGGAGGTTACGGGGAAGTCAAAGGTCAGCGACCTTTGACCTGACAAATAGAGCGCGACAGCAAGGACACACAACTGACTCGCTACAGAGCAGTTGCCCGAGTCGTCGCTGTATCGAACCGCAACAGCAACAGTAAAGTAGTTACAACCGTACCTCTTCGTATTCCTTGTACTCTTATATATATTCTTGTATCTCTTTGTTTTAATCAATCTACTTTGCCCTCACATACTAGCGCAAGGTGGTTCACAACTCTTTAATTGACGCTTCCGCTATTACACCAACTCTACCCAGATTTCACCCCTGTAAAGATCCAAAGGGCTTTTTCAGCCCAACAACCGAGTCACAAATCACACAAAACGTTCAAAATCTACACCCAAAATTCACAAGCACACAGGGGGGACACATGTATAGGACTACACATGCAGCTGCAGAGGCAGGTGGAGGCAGGGGCAGTGGCAGCAGAATATGAAACTAGAACAAACGAATGAGAGTTATGGCAAACATTTTACATGGCCCCTCCTCCCCTAATCGCCTGCTCTTCTCCTGTCCCCCTCCCCTCCTCCTTCTCCCCTCCCCTCCCCCCGTACCCCCTCTCCTCCACTTCTCCAAGTTGTTCTCACTGCTCCTCCCCGTCGCACTCACTGCCCCTCCCCACTGCTCTCACTGCCCCCCTTCACTCAGCAGCTGCTGCCAGAACGCCTCATCATCAGCCTCCCCCTCTCCTCTGAACACCGCAGACGCATTCTGACTCATCCCCATGCTCGCAGCTGTAGCACCCATCCCCACGCTCCCAGCTGTAGCAGCCAGGGCGGCAGCTGTAGCGGCTCTACCTGCTAGAGCCACGTCATCAAACGAGTTGGCTGTAGCAGCTGTAGCAGCTGCAGCGGCTGAAGTTGACGTGGTTGTAGCGAGTGAGTCCAGAGAGATGGGTGTTGCAGGTAGCACAGGGGCGAGGGTCGAGGCAGCAAGACTCGAAGCAGCGAGATTTGAAGCAGCGAGGGTTGAAGCAGCGAGGGTTGAAGCAGCGAGGGTTGAAGCAGTAAGGGTTGAAGCAGCGAGGGTTGAAGCAGCGAGGGTTGAAGCAGCAAGGGCGGGAGCAAGAGTGGGAGGTAGAGCGGAAGTCATGCCAACCGGCAGAGCCCCAGCAAGAGGGGGAGGACTACGAGGGCACGGGTGGGGAGGGGCAAGGGTGGAGGTAAAGGGAGCTAGAACAACAGGGTGCTGGATGGGATTCACTGCAGGCGGGCGACTGGGGAAAGAGCGAGCGGGGATAGTGGGAGGAGGCATGGCAGTGGCAGTGCAGTGAGTTGCTTCGGCAGCGAAGAGCTCTGCTGGAGAGAGAGAGAGAGCCGCAGAGGAGAGGAAGGAGGCGGAGAGGTGGGAGGAGGCGAGGTGGGAGGAGGAGAGGTGGGAGGAGGCGAGGTGGGAGGAGGCGAGGTGGGAGGAGGCGAGGTGGGAGGAGGTGAGGTGGGAGGAGGCGAGGTGGGAGGAGGCGAGTTGGGAGGAGGCGAGGTGGGAGGAGGCGAGGTGGGAGGAGGCGAGGTGGGAGGAGGCGAGGTGGGAGGAGGCGAGGTGGGAGGAGGCGAGGTGGGAGGAGGCGAGGTGGGAGGAGGCGAGGTGGGAGGAGGCGAGGTGGGAGGAGGCGAGGTGGGAGGAGGCGAGGTGGGAGGAGGCGAGGTGGGAGGAGGCGAGGAGAGAGGAGGAGAGGTGGGAGGAGGAGAGGAGAGAGGAGGAGAGAAGGGAAGCAGATGAAAGGTGCAGAGACGGAGGCACAGGCTGGGTTGGTAGTGAAGTCAGTGTCAGTAGAGAGTTTTGGTCTGTGGAACCGAGAAGGCTTATAGGGCGGATGTTTCCCGTGAGGGGACCTATAGGAGGGCCTATGGGACGGGTTATATGGCGGATGGGGCTGATAGGATTGATTGGGGAGGAGGCGGGGAGATTTGGCGCTAAGGAAGAGGTAAGGCTCGGTTTCCCCCCCGAGGCTGATGTGACTCCTGCTGATGCTGCTGCTGCTGCTGCCGCCGCTGCCACTGTTGCCACTGCCGCTGCTGAGGCTGACAGTGAGATAGTAGCAGAGTGTGAGTCTGAGAGAGGAGAGGAGCGAGAGAGGGGGGTGGCGTGAGAGAGAGGGAAAGAGATGGAGAGAGGGGAGGAGCGTGAGAGAGGAGAGGAGTCAAAAAGAGGGAAAGAGTTGGAGAGAGGAGGGGGAAGGGAGGCAGGCGGGCGTGCGATTGGCAGGGGCAGGGGCAGGGGCACGGGCAGGGGGAGGGGAATGTGGCAGGTGGGAACACCAGCTGACGCCAGTGCTGCTGCAGCAGCCGTTGCAGTGAATGCTGCTCCTGACGTTCCCATTACAGGCGCCTCAAAAGCAGCAGAAGCAGCGGCAGAAGCAGCGGTAGTGAGTGCGGGTCCTGTACCCATTAAAGGGGAGGAAAACGCAGCTGCAGCAGCAGACAGAGCAGCAGCAGCGGGCACAGATCCTGATGCTGCTGCTGCTGCTGCTCCTGCTGCTGCTGCTGCTGCTGCTGTTGATGGCAGCACGGGTGGCACGAGCGGTGGCAACCCAGGAGGGGATAGCAGGGACAGAGATGCAGACCCACCTAGGCTTCGTGCCCCAGATAAGCCACTTGCCAAGCCTGACGCTGCTCCTCCCAAACCTCCTCCTGCCGAACTTCCTCCTGTCAAACCAATGGCAGCGGTCCCCCCAAGGAGACCTCCTGCCAGCGCTGCTGTTGCCCCCATGCCTGTCCCCACTGCTGCTGCTGCTGCTGCTGCTGCTGCTGCTGAAGCAACTGCTGCATTTGATGCTGCCAGTGAAGCTGCCAGTGATGCAGCCAGGGTAGGGACGCTTGATGCTGCTAGGGTAGGGACGCTTGATGCTGCTAGGGTAGGGACGCTTGATGCTGCTAGTGATGCAGCTAGGCCAGGCACGCTGGATGCTGCATTGGTTGCTGCAAGGACAGGTACAGTTCGCACAAGGGAGGATCCAGATCCAGCAGCAGAAGCAGAAGCAGCTGCCACTGCCGCAGCTCTTAGCTCTGCGGCTCTTAACTCTGCGGCTCTTAACTCTGCTGCTCTTAGCTGTGCTGCTCTCATTTCCAATGAGGTCAACTCTGCTGCCCTCAAATGGGCCAATGCTGCTGCTGTTGCTACAGCTGGACTCGTTGCTGCTACAGCCGGAGCCACTGCTGCTCTGCTTGCTGCTGAATCTGCAGCTGCCCTCGTTGCACTGGCAGCACCAGAGGCTGCTGCTGCTGCTGCTGCTACCTGAGCTGCTGCGTCTGCTGCTCGCATCTCTGCTGCTCTTAGTTCCTCAGAAATTGCTGTTCTTGCTGCTGCTGCAGTTGCTGCCGCCGTTGCTGCTGCTGTTGCTGCCACTGTTGCCGCTGCTGGTCCTGTTGTTGCTGATCCTGCTGCTGCCATTGCTGATGCGGCTGCAGAGGCAGGAACAAGCCCACGCCCGAGCCGTTCCTGCTCCAGCAGCAAAAGCTGTTCCTCCTGCTGCTGCAGCAACAGAAGCCGCTGCAGCTGCTGCTGCTCCTCCCTCTGCTGCTGCACCTGCAGCTGCTGCAACTGCTCCCTTCTCGCCGCTGCAGCTGCTGCAGCTGCTGCCGCCCCTCTGGTGATTATATCAGCTGCACCACCAGCAGCAGTAGCACCGCCCCCAAACATCCGCTCATACATCTTCTCTGCTCCACCCATTCTCTGGTCCCCCTCAAATCCCCCCCAAATACCACCAGCGCTCAGGCCCGCACCATTGCCATCCAAGTTCCGAATCCCACCGAGAGCCTCCCCAAACACGCTATCGTACACCCCTTCTGCTCCAGCCGCCCCTCCAAACGCCCCTGCAAAAGCCCCTGCAAGCTGCTCCGCACTTGGCCCACCAAGGGAGGAGCCTGTAAGCTGCCTTGTAAGGGGCCCCCCAAGCTGCCCTGCAAGCCCCCGTGTGAGGGATCCCCCAAGGGTTTCCCCAAGAGGACCCCCAAGGGAACTCCCAAGAGGGCCTGAAGCGGCAGCCACGGAAGCACTGGCAGCAGCAGCGCCCATGGGGGTCAGATACGACACAAGCTGCCCGCCCAGCACGTCAAACCGCTCCATTGTGAACCCGGGCGGCGGCGGGCGGCCGAACGGGTTGGCCAGCGGCTCGCTGAGCCCGTACTCGTTATAAGCGGCCTCGGGATTGTGAGTCGGGTTGCCCTGTTCTTGCTGCTGCTGTGCCTGCTGCTGCTGAGTGCTCAGGTTGTTGCTGTTGGCAGCTGCCTTCTCAGCGGCGGCAGCAGAGGCAGATGCAGCAGCAGTTGCAGCAGCAGCAGCAGCTGCAGCTTTACCAGAAGCAGCAGGGGGTGGGAAGAGGTGATGAAGGTCGTTGCCAGAAAGCCCGGGAAGAAAGCTCTTCGAAGGTTCCGCACTACCATGGTCAAATGCAGAAGCAGCACCCATGCTGCTGCTTCCACTGCCAAACGCAGTCCCCTCCTCCCCACCACCACCGGCAGCACCAGCAACACCAGTGCTGGCACCGGCACTAGTGCCACTGCTGTTCTTGTGGCGCTTGAAAAAGATTTGTGAGTGCATGCCCATGTTGCCCGCCCCACTCACGAAATACACCCCCCCCCCTGCTCCCCCTGCTGCTCCTCCTCCTGCTCCTCCTCCTGCTCCTCCTGCTGCTACCTGCTCCTTGCTGCCATGCGGGGAAAACAGGTTCACTCTCGCACCACGTGCACCCACACTGTCCCCCATTCCCCCGATTCCTTTCAATGCCCCCAATTCTTCCCCCTCTCCCATCCCTCCCTTATCCTCCATGGCTCGAATCCCCTTGCGAGCATTCATGCCCATTGCCATGCCTGCAGCGCCTCCCATACCGTTTTGGGGGAATCCCGTGTTGTCACTGTCAAACCCACGCTTGTGAGTGTTGCCCAGGTCCGTGCACCCATCCACATCCATCCCAACCGCAGTAGAAGCGGCAGCAGCCGCGGCAGCGGCGGCAGCAGCAGCAGCAAAGCCAGGGGCACCGAGACCAGCCGCGCCCATCCCAGCGGTAACCGCTTTCAACCACTCTGGACTCCCTCCTCCACCCCCTGCACCAATACAAGACCCCCCGTGACTGGAACTGCCATTCACACTCACATCAAGCCCGCTCCTGCTCCCACTCCTACTCCCCCGCCCGCTGCTGCTGCTCCCGCTCGGGCTGATACTGCTCCTCTTCGGACTCCCCTTCCCCGCGCCTGCCCCGTTTCCGCCGCTTCCCCCGATCCCCCCGATCCCGTTATTCCCGCCGATTCCCCCGATTCCGCCGATTCCGCCGAGTCCGCCGTTCCCCGCGCTCCCGCTTCCGCTGCTGCTGCTGTCGCGGCTGGCGCGCAGCAGCGCGTGCTGCCCCTGCAGCTGCGCGATTCCCCCGAGGAACGCGGGGTTGTTGAGCGCGTGCGCGAGAAACGCCGTCATGTGCGCCTGGCGCTGCTCCTGCGCCGCCATGTTCGCCTCCAGCAGCGCAAGCTTCTCCGCGCTCGCCGCCGCCTGCTGCCGCGAGCGCAGCAGCTCGCGCATCAACACCCCGCGGTCGCGCCGCAGTTGGCTCAGCTCCTCCGACAGCCCGAACGCGCCTAGCTCAACCGTGTTCCCCGCCGCCCCCGGCGCTCCCAGCCCCGCCGGCTCCGCTCCTGCTCCCGCGCACGCAGCAGCGGCGGAACGCTGGTGGCGCAGCAGCGCGCCCCTGTCCAACCCTCCCCGCAGTTGGCTAAGCTCTTCCGACAACCCGAACGCGCCCAGCTCCACCGCGTTGCTCCCCGCCGCCCCCGGCGCTCCCAGCCCCATTCCGCGCGCGACCGCGTCGAGCATGCGACTGGGCGCAACGTACGGAGCTATGCTTCCGGCTGTAGCGGCTGTAGCAGCCATGCCAGCTGTGGCGGCCATTCCACCAGCAGTCAAAGTACCGGTCAATCCAGTCAATCCAGTCAATCCAGTCAATCCAGTCATCCCAGTCAGTCCAGTCATCGCAGCTGTAGCAGCCATCCCAGCCATCCCGCTTGCAGCCAAGCCAGCTGTAGCAGCCATTTCAGCTGTAGCAGCAAATCCACCAGGCACGGCAGCAGCCAACCCAGTCACCCCAGCCACTCCAGCCACTCCAGTCAAACCAGTCAACCCAGTCAACGCAGACACAGCAGCAGCACTTGTGTTCCCCACCACAGAGTGACTGCTCGCCGCCTTGATTGCATCCAGCCCAATGAGGGGACTCACTCCGTTGGAGGGATGGGCTTGGGCTCCGTACATGCCATTCAGCGCCCTCATGCCGTTGACTCCGTTGACCACGTTGACCGCGTTGACCCCGGTTACTCCATTGACCCTGTTCACCCCGTTGACCGCGTTGACAACAGCGTTTTCGTCAAACACTGTACCGGCGGAAATCATCCCTCTTCTGACGTCACCCAGCATGTCCACGTCACCCACCAGCTGCTGCTGCTGCTGGTACCGCCGTGCTAGGAACGAGGCAGACGCAGCAGCGGAAGCGGCGGCGGCGGCGGCGGCGGCGGGCGAGGCAGCAGAGGCAGCGGCATAGGCGGAGGAGGGTGGCGGAGGCGGAGCGAGATGCGGGAGAATGGTGGCGGCGGCAACTGGGGGAGGTAGATCTGGGACGGGGTGAAGCGAAGCGGCTATGGCAGCAGCAGAACCCGGTAACGTTCCGTTACCGTTTCCGTTTCCGCTACCATTTCCGTTACCGTTACCATTCCCGTTTCCGTTTCCGAAAGTGGAGGCCTTGCGGCGGTGTATCGAGTGCAGCAGCTGCGGTTTGCCTCTAACGAAGCACTCATTAGCGAACTCCCAGCGGTCTGGGTCCACTTTGCGGAAGCCCTGTTGGGTGGAAGAGCGGGAATCACGCGGAGCAGAGGGGGAGCATTAAGAACGCTTCATAAGATACGGGGGTTGGCGGATTGCTGCGGGGGAGAGGGGCGGGGGGGAAGGGGAGGGGCGCTGGGGGGAGGGAGATTCACGAATTTCCGCGCGCATCGGCAGAAAGTAAGTGGCTTAATCATCGTGCGCCATGGCTCACGACGCGCGCGATGCGCCTCGGTTGAGTGCCACTCAGACATTCGCGGAGGCGGGAGCTTGGCGGAACAGCCGGCCCGCGGGGGCCTCGGAATTTCTAGCCGCTAAGTTTCCGCAGCGGGAGCCTGCGACGACTTTCGCGGAGAAGCTGCGGCGCCGCGGCGGGCGAAATTCGTGCGGCCGGCGCAATTCTCTCAGGTTTCATTCGCATTGCGACGACGGCGAGCGGGGCGAGCTGTTCAAACCTCCTTCGTCAAGCACCGAGAGAGGAAAAAGGGCCAAACGCGGGAGGGCAGGGAGGGGAGGAGTCGGTCACGGTAACGGTGCCTACTGGGTGGCACCCGCACGCGCGTAGGTGTTTTGTTGGCGCACGAAGCTGGAGAAGCGGCGTCGCTCAGTCATCAAGCACTCCGTGGGAGAGAAGGAGCACCGGAACAAACGCGAACCAAACGAGGATCGAGCACAATTGCGAAAGGGCATCATGGAAGGGGAGTGACGACAGCCGGATCATCATCATCATCATCATCGCCATCATCATCAGCATGCATAGGGAAGGGAGGAGAGTCGGTCACGGTAACGGTGCCCACCACGCACGTAGGTGTTGAGTTGGCGCACGAAGCTGGAGAAGTTGCTGTGCTTGAAGTAGAGCGGCAGAAGATCCCGCGCGAACTCCGCGGGCTGCCACACCACGAAGCTCACGCCGCTGCCCGTCCACGCCACCACGCCGTCCGTCGCCGCGTCGTCCACCAGCTCGTACGTCTTGCTCAGAAACGGCGCCAGCGTGTGCGCCGCGGGCGGAGGCGGCGGCGGCGGCGGGAGGTGCGGCGCGGCGCGAGCTCCTCCCCCTCCTGCTGCTGTGGCTGCTGTTGCGGATGCAGCTGATGAGGATGAGGCTCCGGCAATCGCGGCGCCGGCCGCGCTGCTGCTGGACAACATCTGCGTCATTCCGGGAATTACGGGCATGTGCTGATGGGGCAGTAACAATTGCGACGGTATGGCCGGCGCCGCCGGCGGCAGAATCGGCGGCGTCCTTCCGTCGGAGCTACCGACACATAAGCGAGCCGGCAGGCCGGCAGAAACGCCGTGACCGGTAAGAATCGAGCCGTTAACGTTAACGGGAGCAACACCCGCCGGCGAGAACGCAGCAGCTGAAAGACTCGCTGCTAGCGCAGAGCCGGAAAGCGCTGCGCTCGCCGCCAGCGCAGCTTCGGAAGCCGCAGCTGCAGCCAAGTGTGACCCCCCGAGAAGTCCCGTTTCCCACGGCGCTGGAAAAGCGTCGAACTGCCTCATGCCTCCCAAAGATGATCCCTGATTGGCCCAGTTCCGCCGCCTGCTCGCAGAGACCATCCCCGGCCCAACCCCGAACCCAGCCATCATGTCGGAACCGTCGAACTCCATCTCGACGATGTTCGCGAAAGAAAGGTTACAAGACGGATTTTCCCAAGTCGAATTCCTTTTGCCTCAGCTGCTGTAAGAAATCCGAACGACTAAATTCAATCTCTTCGTGGTAAATCAGCAGGAAAACCCGTCGACGGAAGGAATGAACCGTTTGCTTCCGAATAAGACGGTCGGAAACTAATCTTAAGGCGCTTGAGAAGAACGGACGCCAACAAAGAAGAAGTGAACCGTTGCTGCTGAATGAGCCGAGCCGAACAGTGGAACTTGAACTCCTTAGCGGATACTAGACAACAGATATTTAAATCCGCGTTGAGTGTCTGGCCGTTAAGTTGAGAAACGTATCCTCGTCTCGAACGGTCTCACTCACACGCTTCGAGATCCACGAACCTTCACTCAAGAAACTAATATTCCCGACTCTCCGACGTTAACTCGCAGCACTCTTTGCTTCGCACACTACCGCACGCTTTTTCCACACACCAAAAAAGGAAATGGAAGCAACCGTCTCTGCCGTCAATCCTTAATCCGTTCACCCCGCGTCACTGGGTATCGACTCTGACAGCACTTCCGCGCGGAACCACGCGATATCCTCCCCGAACCACACCCCCCGTCGCCCAACTCGGAAATAGAGTTCAGCGGCCCTGGCCATGCCTATTACCGCCTGCTGTACGTCGACGTGTCACCAAGCAGGCCTCTAGTAAATGAACTGAGAAGATTTGCCAACAGCAGCAGATATGAAGAACGTGTGAAACTCGACGTTGTGTAAACTAAGTTAGCATCACTTCGTCGAGGATATAACAGTCACGAGCTGGATGGAAGAGAAGCTGGAGGGAGATGGAGGGAGTTCTCGAGGCCCGGGAGGCTGGGATGGGAGGAAGTCCGCGGGCAGGAAGGAATGTTGGCATTCTTTGATTAAAATTTCTAGTCTGGACGTGTGGATTGAGTCTGCCTGCATCAGTTGACGACTTGGGACTACCGTAGCCAATCACAGTGTCCTGCCTTTTGCGCTCCGTTGCCACCGCCTTTTTTTTGCACCTTTCCGTGGCTCTCGCCGCTTCTTGACAGTGCAACCAAAACGGAGCTGAACAACTCTCAAGATTTCGCCGAATGTCGTTATCTGCCCGTCTTCCCTTGTGCTCAACTCGACCACCCACCCATTTTCTGCTGCGACAAACATCGAAGTTTTGCTGACCCTCTTCACCAACCAAACCAACACAGGCCGCAGAATCGAACCCAGAAATTCCCGCTGCAAAGCGTCGTCAGCTCAGGCACTTTTTTAGTTCTCAGAAATCTTTCTCGTTGAAGAGAATCCAACCTCCAGTTATCTGTGCGGCCATGAATCCATGTTGTGCTTTGTCCATTCCATTTCCGCATCTGGCTGTCAACGAAGCGCTCAAAGATGATTGGCTCTATCCAGCCCGCTATCCTGCCGCGCAACGCTGGATTGTCTCCTCTCAGGGCGTGTCTGAAGTGCAAACGTCGAGTTTCGTCAAATTTCGTCGACGAAACTCATCCGTGGGACCCACGCGTGTTGGTGTCTGAAGTGCAGCCTGACATCCCTCGACGAAACTCGACGTTCGTGCACATGTCGAGGGATGTCGAACAGTGATACCGGGCAGCTGTTTGAGTCACTGTAGTCAGTGAGTGTTTCAAAAACAATTCTTCGACACGCCATGTCTGCATAGCTGTGGCAAACACACGTGAATAAGAACTAAGACGAGAGCGACACGTGCTAGAGAAATTTCGCTGGCAATGTGACAGTAGAATATCCGGTGTTACCAGCAACAATCTATGCTAAGCGAAATTCGCGAGATTGCAAACAATTGAGTTACATGAATGATTCTGTTAATTCCACGTCGAATTTTCATGGGCAACTTATAACAGTGTTCCTATGGCACGTGTGGGTTATTTTGTCGTGTGGGTGTCTGAAGTGAACACAGCTGAAAACGGATGTCGAGTTTCGTCAAGGAACGTCGACGAAAGTTTCGTCGGCAAACGTCGAAATTCACTTCAGACACGCCCTCATGCACCGCTGTTGGCATTCTCCTCCGCACAAAGCCGAGGGTGCACATGATGGATACAGACAGCCGCAGGCATTCTTGTTGAGCGGACGGACAGATCCTGCTGTCCGAACCGCGGAATGCCAAACAATCCGTGTGTTTTGCCGTGCCCTATTGACAGCGCAAGGTTGCACTCATGCCTCCACGTGAAGAAAATCTCACACGAGGAAAAGGTTGTGAAGGCACGTCAAAAGCAAATACCCGAGCCTAATTGACAGAAAAAGTTGAGAGCCAGCATGGCACAACCCTGACCAGGAACCAGCCTCCACAAGCCTCGGAACGAAGCGCGTTTCAGCTTTGGCTGAATCTCAGCGTTGAGTCAATGACGTGGAGCAGTGATTACTGGATCCAGCGAGCAGTCATCTCCCCTCCTCCTCACCTCACATTTCTTGATGGTATCAACTGCTTTCTCACACTGTAGATCAGGTTTTTCCACATCCGCTTGTTTGTGTTTCGTTAAGCGACACTGGGCCCTAAGGGAAATACCTGGGGTGTTATAACCGAAACATTTAGTCACATCCAAAACGTGTCAATATGTGTGAATTTTATGTAATCCAACATTTTGCATACTGATCCATGAAAATCTAATAACTACTCTCTACTACGACTGAACGCTTTTACTTTCTGCTACTTTTCGGCGCTTCACCCCTTTAGCCTGCGCAGCGGGGTGCGTCGAAATCGGAGCTCGCTTGGGAGGCAAAGCAACCGACTTCTCTCCGTCTCTGTGCTTGCGCAGCCTCTTCTTAGGCAAAGACTTCATCCACGCCGGCACCTCAGTGCCTGATTGCACCATCACATTGGCTATGGCTCTCAGGTTCGGCTCATCCTCCTCTGTGTAGAATGTCACTGCCTCGCCGGGCCGCCCGGCTCTGCCACTGCGACCTGTGGAGCATGAGAGGGAGTGAGAAGGAAGATGTGAGAGAAGCTTCATGGCTGACTGTGGCCATCACATTCACTAGGCGCACCTATCCTGTGAATGTACGCTGCAGTGGTATGCGGACAGTCACAACTCACTGAGCGAAGCATGCAAGCAAGCATGCAACCACAAGGCGCACCTATCCTGTGGATGTAAGCAGCGGTGGTCTGCGGGCAGTCATAGTTCACCACCACATTCACCCCTGCGATGTCCATGCCCCGTCCCATGAGGTCCGTTGCAATGAGGAACCAGATCTTGCCCTCTCGGAACAAGTCCACCACCTGCTCCCTCTGCGAAAGGGGCGGGCACGCGGAGGGAACGGATGGGCGGGAAGAGCAGGGAAAAGGCACGTGAAGTGAGGGTGTTTTTGAGACGTCTCAAGAACGAGTCCACCACCTGCTCCCTCTGCGAAAGGGCACGCGGAGGGAACGGACAGGCGGGAAGAGCAGGGAAAAGGGGAGGAGAGAGAACAGGGCTTCAGAGTCACCTCATAACCCCACGAGGTCCGTTGCAATGAGGAACCAGATCTTGCCCTCCCGGAACGAGTCCACCACCTGTTCCCTCTGGAAGAGACACGCATAGGGGGGAAGAGAAAAGGGGAAAGTAAGAGGGAGGAGGGAGGGAGGAGGGCAGAGGGAGGAGAGGGTGTCAATCTCTAGCGTCACCTCACAAACTCGAAACATATCCCATCAGGTCACCCCACAAACTCGTGCAGGGGTGAATGTGTTCCGTTGCCATGAGGAACCAGAACGATGACCACCACATTCACCCCTGCAATGTCCATGCCTCGCCTCGCCTCATGTGGTAGGAAGGGAGAGAATGCTGCTGCAAATCGTTAATGCCCAGGTTGATTAACCTCGGTCCACCATCCCAACTGCACCGCGGACTCCACCATCGCCCGATCGCCTGATCGTTCCCTGATCCCTTACTTGAGGCTAGTTTTGAGGCGCCTCAAAACCAGATCGCACAATTCCCTGATCCCTTACTTGAGCCACGGATCTGTCTGCGTGAATGACATCCACGTTGAGCCCATCAAAGGAGAGCCACGGATCTGTCTCCATGAATGTGCGGTGCAGGGCAGACAGAAAAATAACTCCACCATCGCCCGATCGCACAATTCCCTGATCCCTCACAAGCGCCACGGAGCTGTCAGCATGGCTGGCGTCCACATTGAGCCCGTGGAAGGAGAGCTCCGAGAGGAGCTGCTGGGGTAGGTGGGTCTCACCTGCATCACAGATACGACCTTCACCGGGTCTGAACTTCACCAGTCCTCACCTGAGCCACGGATCGATCAGCGTGGATGACGTCAACATTGAGTCCATCGAAAGAGAGCTCGGAGAAGAGCTGCTGGGCGCGCTCCTTGCTCTGCACGAAGATGAGCACCGGCGGCCGCACCCCCTGCTGCAGCAGCTGCCGCATCGCCAGCAGCTTTCCCTCCTCCGTGCCCACAAATACCAGCTTCTGCTGCACAGTCTCTGCTGCCGCGTTCCTGCAATGTGGCCCGAGTAGATGAGAAAGAATTGCATAGTTATGGGTCTCTCAAGTTGACTCACAAGGCAGCTTGCCCTCCTCCGTGCCCACAAATACCAGCTTCTGCTGCACCGTCTCCGCTGCCGCGTTCCTATGGCGAGTGTGAGAGTAAGTATAGGGAGAGGCACTTGACGACTCAGGAGTCAGCAGCTTGCCCTCCTCCGTGCCCACCAACACCAGCTTCTGCTGCACGGTTTCTGCTGCTGCGCTCCTGCAACGTGCGTGCCCCAAGCCTCACCTGTCCCCATCAGCGATCTGCACGGGGTCATGCATGACAGACCGTGCCGACTGCTCAAGTGCTTCCTTCAAGCAACGTGGCGGAGAAGAGGGTGCGCGTTAGGGCGGGCAGGGAGCAGTGAGCAGGGGGCAGGGAACAGTGGGCAGGGGGTAGGAAGCAGTGGGCAGGGAGCAGCGCTTGAAAGCAAATGACTGCAGCAGATACACCCAAGGCGTGGCGTACCTGTCCCTAGAACCTCACCTGTCCCCAACAACGATCCGCACGGGGTCATGCATGACTGATCGCGCCAGCTGCTCCACTGCTTCAGGCAGCGTGGCGGAGAAGAGGGTGCGCGTGAGGGGAGGATGGGCGGGAGGGCTGCAAACGAGTGGCTTAACTCGGCAAGGTCAGAAGCCTCACCTGTCCCCAACAACGATCCGCACAGGATCATGCATGACTGATCGTGCCAGCTGCTCAACGGCTTCAGGCAGCGTGGCAGAGAAGAGGGAGCGCGTGAGGGCGGGCAGGGAGCATGCCGCCACGACCCCGTCGATCTGCTCCACGAAGCCCATCTCAAAGAGCTTGTCCGCCTCATCCAGAACTAGGTGCTGCACTCTGTGGGGAGGGGAGTGCATGTGGAAGGGCACGAGGAGAAGGCACAGAGTGAGGGTGAGGATGCGGGCGGGCAGCGTGCAGGCCGCCACGACCCCGTCAATCTGCTCCACGAAGCCCATCTCAAACAGCTTGTCTTCTCCGTCCAGCACCAGGTGCTGCACTCTGTGGGGGGGGGGAAAGGAACGGGTTTGCGAGGGGTGGAGTGAGTGAAGGGTTGATCTGCTCTGCTCCACGAAGCCCATCTCAAGAGCTTGTCCGCCTCGTCCAGCACCAGATGCTGCACTCGGTAGGTGGGGGAAAGCAGACACGGAGTGAGAATCACGGCAACAGTGGCGGGGGACACATGCCGCCACGACCCCGTCCCGTCCATCTGCTCTGCTCCACAAAGCCCCATTTCAAACAGCTTGTCTGCCCCCTACCCCATTTCAAACAGCTTGTCTGCCCCCTACCCCATTTCAAACAGCTTGTCTGCCCCCTACCCCATTTCAAACAGCTTGTCTGCCCCCTACCCCATTTCGAACAGCTTGTCTGCCCCCTACCCCATTTCGAACAGCTTGTCTGCCCCCTACCCCATTTCGAACAGCTTGTCTGCCCCCTACCCCATTTCGAACAGCTTGTCTGCCCCCTACCCCATTTCGAACAGCTTGTCCGCCCCCTACCCCATTTCGAACAGCTTGTCCGCCCCCTACCCCATTTCGAACAGCTTGTCCGCCCCCTACCCCATTTCGAACAGCTTGTCTGCCCCCTACCCCATTTCGAACAGCTTGTCTGCCCCCTAACCCATTTCAAACAGCTTGTCTGCCCCCTACCCCATTTCAAACAGCTTGTCTGTCCCCTACCCCATTTCAAACAGCTTGTCTGCCCCCTACCCCATTTCAAACAGCTTGTCTGCCCCCTACCCCATTTCAAACAGCTTGTCTGCCCCCTACCCCATTTCAAACAGCTTGTCTGCCCCCTACCCCATTTCAAACAGCTTGTCCGCCCCCTACCCCATTTCAAACAGCTTGTCTGCCCCCTACCCCATTTCAAACAGCTTGTCCGCCCCCTACCCCATTTCAAACAGCTTGTCTGCCCCCTACCCCATTTCAAACAGCTTGTCTGCCCCCTACCCCATTTTAAATGCGCGAGCCTCAGAGGAGTGGAGATGAGGACATCGCATGCCGCCCCTTTGAGCTCCACACAGCCTGCAGTGGCCTTGGTCAGCAGCCGCGCCCTCACTGCCAGTTGCGTCGTGCCAGTGCGAGGATTCACTCACCGGCTCAGGTTAACTTTTCCTTCCGCCACCAGGTGTGCCAGGCGAAGGGGAGTGGAGATGAGAACATCGCAGGCCGCCCCTTTGAGCTCCACGCAGCCAGCAGTCGCCTTGGTCAGCAGCTGCACTCTCAGCTTCGTGACCAAACCACACCCACTCACACCACACACAGTCACACACCCAGTCACAGCCACTCACACACAGTCAGTCACACACCCAGTCACAGCCACTCACACACAGTGGGTCACACACCCAGTCACAGCCACTCACACACAGTGGGTCACACACCCAGTCACAGCCACTCACACACAGTCAGTCACACACCCAGTCACAGCCACTCACACACAGTCAGTCACACACCCAGTCACAGCCACTCACACACAGTGGGTCACACACCCAGTCACACCCACTCACACACAGTCAGTCACACACCCAGTCACAGCCACTCACACACAGTGGGTCACACACCCAGTCACACCCACTCACACACAGTCAGTCACACACCCAGTCACAGCCACTCACCGACTCAGGTCCACTTTCTTCTCAGTCACGAGGTGAGCGAGCCTCAGAGGAGTGGAGATGAGCACATCGCATGCCGCCCCTTTGAGCTCCACGCAGCCGGCAGTGGCCTTGGTCAGCAGCCGCGCCCTCAGCTTCGTGCCCGCTGCCAGCTGCTTCAGAGCCCGCGATATCTGCAGCGCTAACTCCCGTGTCGGCACCAGGACCACTGCTCTGATGGCCTCAGGGGAGTGGGACTGGTGGCCGGGGGGGGGGGGGGGGGAGGAGGAGGGGAGGGGGGAGTGGAGCGGGGAGCCAGTGGTGGGCTTGGTGAGAAGCCGTGATCTCAGCCTCGTGCCTCGTGCCTCCTGCCAGCTGCTTCAGCACCCGCGATATCTGCAGTGCCTGCCAGCTCGCGTGTCGGCACCAGGATTACTGCTCTGATGGCATACGCCGTACGGGAAGTGCGACTGGCAGAGGGAACGCGGATCGGGAGGGGAGCTGGAGGGGGGAGGAGGAAGTTGGAGGTTTAAATGGGAAAGGCAGTTCACTTTGAGTGCACAGATACAAAAAGCAGCTCACCTGGAGCCCACAGGCACACCTAAAACCCACAAAGCTCACCTTTAGAGCCATGACGATGGGAAGAAGCAAAGCAACGGTCTTCGAGGACGAAGCACAGGAGAAGCACAGGCGAACCACAGGAGAAGCACAGGAGAAGCACAGGCGAAGCACAGGAGAAGCACAGGCGAAGCACAGGAGAAGCACAGGCGAAACACAGGAGAAGCACAGGAGAAGCACAGGCAAAGCACTCGCGCGCATTCTCACAGCGCAGCTCACCTTGAGAGCCATGACGATGGGAAGCAGAAAGGCGACAGTCTTGCCCGACCCCGTGGGCGCACAGGCGAAGCACTCTCGCCCCTGCAGCAGCAGCGGCACCACCTGCCTCTGAATGGCCGTGGGGTGCTCAAACCCCATCTCCTGCAGATTGCGCAGTAAGCGCCGACGGCAGTTGTACCTGGTGGGTGGGATGGGGAAGAGATGTGAGAGGCCTTAGATATGTGAGCAGAAGCAGCGGCACGGCCTGCCTCTGGATTGGAGTGGGGTGCTCGAGCCCCATCTCCTGCAGATTGCGCAGTAAGCGCCGGCGGCAGTTGTACCTGGTGGGGATGATTAGGGATAAGGCGGGTTCGTGAGAGGCCGATATGAGAGCGCCAACAGCAACAGTTGCCTCTGAATGGCTGTGGGGTGCTCGAACCCCACCTCCTGCAGATTGCGCACTATGCGCCGGCGACAGTTGTACCTGGTGGGTGGGATGGGATGGGGAGTGGTGGGTTTTGGGACGTCTTAAACTTGAGCAGCAGCAGCAGAAGCACCTACTCACTTGTCTGCCGCCCACTCACTTGCCTGTCACGTCACCCACTCACCTTCCTGCCAGCCACTCACCTTCCTGCCAGCCACTCACTTGTCGGCCAGTTCTTGGAAGGACTCGAGGGGAGCCGTCACCAGGTGGCTGGACACGTGGATGCGATGGCGCTTGCGCAACACTACTGCATGCTGCCACGTGGCGACCACGGGGGTAAGGGAGGAGAAGGGAAGTCAGGAAGGGGTTTAGGTAGGGGTTGGTTGAGATGGGGGGGGGTAAAAGGGGTGGGAGTGGGTGGGGGAAGAGAAAGGGGTGGAAAGGAAGAAAGCGAATCTTGGGATTAAGCATGAAAGCTTCGCTCATAGTTCGTCCGAAAACAAATCACGAAAGCTGTGTGATGAAATCGAGACACCAAACCTCTCAGAGAAAACGCCGAGGGGTCGAGAGAAGATTCAAATAAACAGTCACTCACTTCAACGGGGTCCATTTTCTTCTCCAATTCTTCTCCACCAGAAGCGCCGGACGCTCCACCATCCGGTCGATCTGAACCGTCAATCTCTGTTTGAGAAGCTGCTGCTCCTACCGTTGCCGTCTGCTCACGCACCTGCAAGCATTGGAGGAGAAGGAAACCCAGAATCCAGAATTAAGCAAGAAAAAACGAAAACCTGGTAAACCCCGAAAACCTCGCCTGGTAAAGCCCGAAACCCTTAGTGTGACTCGCGTCCACTGAAGCAACGCCAAGCATTCATAAGTGACCAGCGCGGCGCATCAGTGGCCCCAGTAGACGGCTGACGACGCGCGGATTTCTAGAAACGCCAAAACGGCTACCGCTGAAGCGTTTTTGGGAAACCTAGAAAGCCATACCGGGTGCACCTTCTAGAAGAGCACGGCTACTGTGACGAGGAGCACCTTGAACGAGTCGTTGTTTTTATATTTTTGAGGCGCCGCAAAAGTCGCATCGCAGCTACTATTAACGGAGCACCTTGAACGAGCCGTTGTTTTACTACTTTTGAGGCGCCTCAAAAGTTGCACCGCAGCTACTGTTAGCGGGAAGCACCTTGAACACGTCGATGTCCTTCTTGAAACGCTTTTTGTTGATGCTCGTTCCCGCAAACAGAAGCCTCTCGACGTCCATGGCGATTTGCTACAGGCGACGAGCGGCTGTGCGACGAAGCGAACGCGAGATGCAGTGACGGACGCCGGCGGGAGCGGGCTCGCTTGCGTGAAAACCCTTCAACGAGCGTCCGCGAGTCTGTTCCGCAAGAAGACTGAACGAGGAGCCTACTAATAGAATCGAAGAGCTTGCTGTCCGGGGATTGGAATAGTGAACCTCGCGATGCTAGACTGTCGTTGTCACAGAAAGATGGCTTGCGTTCGAACAACAGGTGTGCCGAAAAGTGCGCTAGCAGCTTGTCAGTGCAAAAACTTTTGAGCGTATTACCTTGACGTAAACAGGTAGTAATGAGTAATTAATTAACGGAAAACCGCATTACTATACCTAGTTTCGGACTCACCTGCTGCCGCGTATGAGTTGATGGAAAGGAACGATGAGTACAGAAAGCAACTTGCAGATGGGAACGTCGATACTGTACGGCACCATAACGACTGGCACCAGATGAGTTCTCAAGTTTTCGCAGAAGATCTACGAAATTCTTCGCTGAGGTTCCAGATTGTTCGGTTCCCTGGGAAGTCTTGGAAGATTTGTGTGGTAACCAGTGTCGATTCGTCCAGAAAATCGAATCGCCAAATGACAGCACACCTTTTTTCAAAGACCTTGCTCCCTCATCACTTGGCCTCACTGCTCCTCTTGCTTCAGCTGATTAGGGTTATGGCATGTCGGTTATTACTGTTGCGCCTTCCCTCCAAAATCCTTCACCTCCTACCATGATAACCCTTCTTGTGTGTCTGTATCCTTGTTGTATTGCGCCCTGAGACCTGTCAGTATCAAGCTAGTAGTAGTAGGTTAGTATCAAGCTACTAGTAGTAGATTAGTATCAAGCTACTAGTAAGGTAGCATTGTTGCTGATTCGTGTTGCAGGGGTTTACCTGTAGGCATGTCCCTTAGCCTCTTGTTGCCTCTAAGGCTGTAACGCATTGCCCTAACTAAGCTAACTAACCAACTTCCCTCTAAGCAAATGTCGAGAGTTTTCTCGACAAAGAGGGACTTGGAGAAGAAGGTTGGCTTTGGTTGGGATGGAAGGGTTGGTTTGGTTTTCCAAACCTCAACCAAGAGGATTGGGAAACTCCAACCCATCAAAGTGAAATCACAAAGGTTGGAATTCCAACCAATCAGAAACTGCCAAACAATTGTTACAATCTACTCTATCCTAAACACAACCATTGAATGGTTCTAAGTTGGGTTTTCCAACCCAACACAATTGCCACATAGGCTCCAAGCCTAGGAACCATCCCACCATGGAAACCATGGTTGGGATAGTTCCCCAAGGGGTGTATTGAGGGGGTCTGAGCTAAGCAAGTTCATTCTCAACCTCCCACTCCAACTAAACAATTGGAAATGGGATTATTTGGCTAAGTCCTTTAGGCTCTCTCACAAGCTTCCCTACACAACTACTCCAAGTGCTTTTCATCAAAGGCATCAAGAAGATCTTCATCTCCAAGGCTGTTGAGGCTAGTTAAGGCTACTATTTTGTATTGGAATATTATAAAAGCCTTGTAACCGCCATTATAATAGCCTTGGGCATTACAAAGGCTCCTTTCCCTACCACGTGTCGCTCTATCAAGCCCAGTCTTCCGCAATCTACGCTTCACGCTCCAACCTATTGCACGTCCTTCCGCTCTCTCTCACTCCGGTTCTATCCTGCCGTGCTGTCCCTCCCTTAGCGGCCGCGCCGATTCCGTAGCTCCATCGATTAGCATTATTCTACCAGCTGTTTCTCGCGATTCGATCGACCATAGCTACCGTGAACAGGGCCCTACAGGGACCTGCCGGGCCGTCAGATTTAACTCATTAGCAAACGGTTCTCCTGCCGTTTTTTCGGAATCAGCCGCCTACTCGAATCCGGCAGTTTCTTCGAAATTCCGAGCCTGTGCGGTTTCGCAGGATCTATCGCAACGAGCGCCAGGTGCGGAACGCGCTCGGGACGCGTCCACGTGGCCGAAGCATCAGCCAGAGGTCTCCGCGAACGACGGCGGGATTTCTGCAGCAGCTCCGTCAGCATCAGGGTCTCCAGAAATTGCAAAGCCGTTTGCTTCGAGAATGTCGACAGAGGACGAGGTCTACGCGTTCGTTAAGGGATCTAGCGACGCGAAAGGCCTCCTATCGGGGATAAAGCTAGCGGAGGACAGCGGCAACGTGGTGCTGAGAAACGACGCGGAAGTTGCTTCTGCGAAGGATCTGGTCGGATTCGATGTGGATGGATTCTTCAGTGCTCTGTCGACTGACGGACTTGGACGGACGTTGCTGGCCAGCAAACGACTTTCGTCAACTCACACCCTTGTATCAAAGTAAGCAGCTAAAGTGGGCTAGGACTGAACGAGGGGAGGGGAGGGGGGGTGAAAGAATGGGGAGAGAGTGAAGGGAATGTGGGGAAAGTCTTCTGTGGTGGATGCTTGCGCTGTGTGCTTGGTGTTCATGCTGCGTTGGACGAGGGAGGGAGGGAGAACGCGTTATGTGACAAGGCGTGTGCTGCTGTGCTGTTGTGCTGCATGCTGGTGATTGGCTCATGGTGTCATGTGTTGTGTTGTGCTGAATGCATGGCTTGTGTTTGTGCTGCGTTGATGCATCTCTAATGTTGCACTTTGTTGAAGCATGCATGATGTGGTGTGAAGCACCCATGACGTGAAGCACGCATGATGTGAAGCATGCATGATGTGAAGCACCCATGATGTGAAGCACGCATGATGTGAAGCACGCATGATGTGAAGCATGCATGATGTGAAGCACCCATGATGTGAAGCACGCATGATGTGAAGCTTGCATGATATAAAGCACACATGTCACGATGCACAATGCTATCATGCGCCATGCTCCTGCATGCATTCACGCATGAATGGATGATGCATTGATGCTGGTTTTCCTTTCAGGAGCTTCGAAACCCTCCCCATAGGCACCGTCTGCATCTCTCGCATTCAGTACAGCGGACGAGGTACTTCCCTCATCCCACTCTCCCTCATACTCCTCCTCTTTCCTCCCAATCTCCCTCCTACTTCTGCCCTGCTCCCGTTCTCTTGTTTCGTCCTTCCATCTGCCTCATGCACTTTCCTTCAAACTCTCATGCTAGAAATCTTCCCATCTCGCCCCTCCAATCATCCTCTTCCATTCCACATCAATAGGTACGCGTTTAAAGTTCTATGTCATTCTAACTTGCTGCTTTGTCTTCCCCCCCTCCCCCCCCCGTCCGTCCCCACTTCCTCTCTCCCCCCGTCCCCCTTACCCGCCCGCTCTTGATCTCCCTCTGACCACCCCACGTGGCAGGGGGGGGGAGGCAACACGTGGGAGAGTCCCGAGGGCTGCCTAATGTTCTCGCTCTCTCTCCGCTGGGTCTGCGGACGCACCAGCACCATTTCTGCTCTTACTAGACTCGAAATATATCTCTCTGACCGCCCCCCCTTTCCCCCACGTGGCAGGGAGGGGAGGCAACACGTGGGAGAGTCCCGAGGGCTGCCTTATGTTCTCGCTCTCTCTCCGCTGGGTGGACGGGCGCACGCTGCCTCTGCTGCAGTATGTGCTGTCGCTGGCAGTGGTGCAAGCTATTGAAGACATGGCCAAGGAGAGAGGGGTAGGTGACCTGCTGCTGCTGCTGCTGCTGCTCCTGCCGCGCCTCCGCCGCTGCTGCTGCTGCTCAAGTGGCCCGAGCCGAACGAATTCAAGTTTATCCTCTCACCGTCCTTCCCTCTGTCTGTCCCCTCCACTGTCTCAACAGACCTCCCTCCCCCAGGTAGCCCTCAAGTGGCCCAACGACATATTTCTGGGCGGGCTGAAGGTGGGCGGCGTGCTCTGCACGTCATCCTACCGCAACAGGGCATTTGACGTCACTGTGGGTGAGTGGAGTGAGTGGGTGAGGGAGTGGGGGATTGAGTGGGTGGGTGGGTGGGTGGAAGTGAGTGAGTGGGTGGGAGTGAGTGAGTGGCCTTACTAGGCACCTCAAAAGGCGGGCAGGAGGTAGGCGGCGTGCTCTGCACGTCATCGTACCGAAACAGAGCGTTTGAAGTCACTGTGGGTGAGTGGAGTGAGTGGGTGGGAGGGATGGGGTTAAGGGTTGGGGTTCGGGTTGAATGGTTGACTGGGTGGGCAAGTTGATTTAATGTGCGGTCAGAAGGTGGGTGGCGTGGTCTGCACAGTGACGTCACTGAGGGTGAGTGGAGTTAGTGACTGAATGAGTGAGAGGGTGAGTAAGTGGGCAAGTGGTTGAGTGGGTGAGTGAGTGAGTGAACAACATCTAATTTTACCTTCCCATCCTCTTTGCTCACAATCCCCCACCACCACATGCATCAACGCCACTCTGTCTGCTGCCTGCCCCTCTGCCCCGTCCATATCCCCTCCACCTCCTGTTTCACAACTGCCACAGGCGTAGGTCTGAACGTGGACAACGCCCATCCCACCACGTGCATCAACAACGCTCTGCAAGCCACCACTCGTCCCTCCGCTGCCCCTTGTTCCTCCCTCCCCCCGCCCACTATCCCCCTTCCCCAGTCTAAAAACCTCCACTAGGCATAGGTCTGAATGTGGACAACGCCCATCCCACCACCACGTGCATCAACAATGCTGCAAGCCGACACCTGCCCCTCTGCCCCTTGTTCCTCCCTCCTCCCTTCCCCCCCATCCGCCCCTTGTTCCTTCCTCTCCCATCCCACCTCTTCCTCCATGCTCCACCAGGCATAGGTCTGAACGTGGACAACGCCCATCCCACCACCACGTGCATCAACAACGCTCTGCAAGCCACCACTTGTCCCTCCGCTGCCCCTTGTTCCTCCCTCCCCCTTCCACTTTTCCACTCTCCCCGTTTAAACACCTGCCACAGGCATAGGTCTGAACGTGGACAACACCCATCCCACCACGTGCATCAACGCTGCTCTGCAAGCTGCCCGCCCCTCTGCCCCGCCTGTCTCCCACGAGGCTCTGCTGGCCGCTCTGCTCAACCGCCTGCATTCGCTGCTCACCGTCTTTGAACAGCAAGGTGGGATGGGGATGAGTGAGGGGTTGGGAGGGGGAGGGGGAAGATGGGAGGTGGGGGGAGGGAGGGTGGTGAAGGGTAGGGTGGGGTGGGGCCTTTGAGGAGTCTGCAGAGAGCGCATCCCGTCTCTCACGTTGCGCGCTGGCAGCTGTGCTCTCAGCCGCCTGCACTCGTTGCTGCTTGTATTCTAACAGCAAGGTGAGTGTGACTGTTTGTAGAAAGAGAGAAAGAAGGAGGGGGTGGAGTGGGGGGAGTGGTGATTGCGTTAAGCTTGAGCTCAAACTCCTCCTCTCCTTTACGCTTCCTTCCCCTCACTCTCCCTCCCCCGCTTTTCTCCCCGTCTCTCCTCCCTGCTTTCCCTCTCCCTCTCCACTTGTTGTCTCCCTCTTCCCCTCACCCGATCCTCTCACCAGGCTTCAAGCCTCTGGAAGCGGATTATCTGCAACGCTGGCTGCACAGGTACCTTGTGCATTCGCCCCCTTGCCATTCCTTCCGCCCCCCTCTCCAGCCCCCTCCGCTCTTACTGCATTCATCCCTCGCTCCTCCCCTCCCTCTCGGCTCGTCCTTCCCCTCCCCTCCCCCTCATCCCCCCTTCCCCCCGGCTCCCCCCACCTCTTCTTCCTTTTCTCCTCCTGTGCATTTCTAATGCTTGTGTCTTTCCTGGAAAAAAACTTGTTTTCATTCCCTTAGCCTTTTTTGTAAATGCTCTGCAACTTTCTCCGTTATCAAATCTATCCCTTCTTTATCGTATCTCCCCAACCCTTTTGGGCCTCTCCGCTTTTTCTACCCCCTCCGTCCCCCCTGCCCTCTCCCGCTCTGCCCCCATTCCCCCCCTGCCCTTGCACCTCTCATTGAAGAAGTGTTTTGAGACGTCTCAAAACATTCCCCCCCTGCCCTTGCACCTCTGCCCTCGTCTTCCTGTCCCCGTCCCCTCCCTGCCCTCGGCCGCCCTGCCCTCGCTCCCCTGCCATACTTCCCAGTGGCCAGCACGTGGTGTTGGAAGAGCCTAAAGAGGGAGGAGGCACCACCCAGGTCTCCTTGACCATTCAGGTGTGGGTTCAAAGAGGGGTTCCGGTGTGGTTGTGGGAGAAAAGGGGGGGGGGGAGGGGGGTTACAGGCGTTGGTTGGGTGGGGGGTTCAGGGGGGTTTCGGGGGTGGTTCAGGTTCTGCTTGGATGGAGGGTTTTGGGCGGTGGTCCATGTGTTTTTTTTTTTTTTTAATGCGCATCATTCACCCTGTTTTGTTCCCCCATAATCCCTTTCCCCTTCCGCTTTCCCCATTCCCACTTCCCCCTTACCTGTTCCCCCCACTCCCATCCATGCGCAAATACACGCACGCACATTCACACAGGTGCACCACACATTTTCAGTCAATTCAAAACTCGTCTCATTCCACACTCGTTTGTCTTCACGCCCTCGCCTTTCCCTTTGTCTCTTCCCTCACTCTCCCCTCGCCGCTCTCCTCACCTCTCTCCTAACCTCGGCTTGCCTCTCCCCTTGCTGCTTTCCTTCCTCTCGCCTCTTCCTCCCTCCAGGGTCTCACTACGGGTGGTTACCTCCTCGCGACTGACCCTTCAGGGGTACAATACGAGCTTTCCCCAGATGGTAACAGGTGAGTGACTATACAGGGGTGAAGATGTGTTTTTTTAGAATTCTCAAAAGACACACAGTGACTATACAGGGTTGAAGATGTGTATCTATTAATTTCCTCCCTTTCCTTCGATTTGTTGCCTTCGTTTCAAATCGCAACCCTCCTTCCCTCCTTTCAATCCTTCCCCTCCCCCTCCTTCCCCTCCTTCCCCTCCTTCCCCCCCTTCCCCTCCTTCCCCCCCTTCCCCTCCTTCCCCTCCTCCCCCCCTTCCCCTCCTTTGCTAAGTACATGCCTACTGGTATACATGTCATACCATTGACCTCCATTCTAATCTGTTGCTGTGAATACATAGCGTGGCTTTCTCCCCTTTGACCCCCGTTTTTATCGGCTGTGCATGCCTGCTATGCTTCTACTCTCCACCCTTCGTTTGCACTGCCGTCGCCCCTCTCTCCCCCCACACTCACCAGCCTCGACTTTCCCAAAGGGATCATGCGGCGAAAGCTGAACCCAGAGAAGCAGGTGGCAGGGGGGATCTGACTGACAATCACTGTCATCTCAACTCCTCTTCTTGCATCACCCACTCTCGCTTTGCATCACCCACACACGACCCGTCCTCCCCCCCACCAGCCTGGACTTTTTCAAAGGGCTCATGCGGCGAAAGCTGAACCCAGAGGAGCAGGTGGCAGGGGGGATCTGACTGACCATCACTCTCAGTCCGCTGCTTCCCAGATCCGCACCAGGTGATGCTCTTCTCAGGACCCTCCACCAACCTCGCTTTCCCTTCCCCTCCTCCCCCTCTCTTCTCCCCTCCCTTTCCCAATCCCCACTTGTCCCTGCCTGCCCTCTCCCCGCTTCCACTGTTCCACGTGCTCCTGCTCCTTCCCCACCTGTCGTCCTGCCTGCCCCCCTGTCTGCCCCCCTGTCTGCCCCCCTGTCTGCCCCCCTCTTCTTGTCTCACCCATCCCCCCCATTGCCCCTTGTAGCGCCTGGCCCATGGCATCTCCCTCCGTGACCCCCGCCCGCACGCACAGTAAGGATCGTCTTTCACCTTCTGTGTTTCCGGCTAGTGTAAGGCTCGCCATGCCTTCCATGCCATGCCATGCCGTGCCATGCTATAGCATGCCATGTGATGACATGGTAAACCATGTCATGCCATGCCCTGATGCATCCTGCTGTGTCATAACCAATCTCAATAATCCACCAGTCATTTCATATCTGCGTCTAGTTTGTTGACCCACAATGGTATGCATGGTCGTTTCTTGCTGTAGCATCTGCTCACATTTCTTGCATCACTGGCACGATTTCCATTGTTGCTTCTAATGCAGATGCGCATGACGATGATGCTGCGACCAGCCCTACAGTGTACTACCGCCAGTCGTTGAGGGCAATCAAGGCATGTACAGCGAATGCAGACACAGAACCACAAGCACCTGGTTCTTCTGCTGGTCTCTCGGCCTCCTCTCCCTCTGCCTCCTCTCCGTCTATCTCCCTCCAAGCCCATTCTGCCAAACCCACCGGTGGTGAATTTTATCCCAAGGCAAAAGCACAAGGTGGGATAGGCAAAAGGAGGACCACACGGGCTGGTCTGGCAAGTGGGAGGGCTATGAATGAGTCCGAGGGTGAATCTCGACAGTTATTTAGCGATCCACTACAAGCAAAACTCGTTAGCAATGTTAGGGAGGTGTTTCGTCATGGGGACAGCTTGGGATTAACAGAGGCAGAGAAACGAGCAGCTGTGGCAGCTGCTGCTAGGGTGCTGAGATTCCTGAAGAAAGTCAGAGGTCTCTAGTTACAAGCAAAACTTGGTAGCAGCCTAAGGAGGTGTTTCTTCATGGGTACAGCTTGGGGCTAACTGTGTCAGAGAAACTAGCAGCTTGGGGCTAACTGTGTCAGAGAAACTAGCAGCTTAGGGCGAACTGTGCCTGCTGTTGAAAATGGGGCCAATGTTGAAGGACTCTTTCTTCCTACACCTCTTTATAGCAGCTACCTTTTAGGCATCGGCCGGTATGCTTACGGAACTGAAGAATCCTTGGAAAACGACACATACAAGCCACACACAAGTGGCAACTAAGACATCACTCACATACCAATGGTTGCAAACATGAGTCCAAGCCGTGCCTTACAAGCTGCATAGTGTCTGAAACAACACATCCAGGTACGTTGAGAGAAACACCATGCTCACCTTCTGTAACCTCACTGAGAGGTCTCTGTACCTTCTTTAGCTATCAAATTTGCTGGTTGAAGTTTGCATGAAAAGATACACCCTATCTAGAAACAGCAGCACGCATGACTACCGGTATGACCAGCAGGACCACAGAAAGTGGTGTTACCGTCACACGCTCCAAATAGCTACCATCAATTAAACACATCACACAACACGGCCTACAAGTTGCCCCTTGTTGTGGTCCTAGCCCGTTGCTGCTTTTTTTTGGGGGGAGGGGGGGAGGGGGGGGGGTAGAGGGAGGGAGAGAAGGGGGGGGGCTTAGATGTGAACCCAGGAGGAAACACGTTGCTGCTGTTGTTGCTGTTCCAGCCTCTGCTTCTCTGGTTGTTGCCCTCTGTTGCTCTAGCAATCATGTGGCATCAGCGGTAGGGCGTGAGATTGCAAACGCAATTATTCCTGCCTTTGATGCATACACAGCAACAGCGGTTCGATGCTGCCTCTGTGGCTGGTGTCTCATGCTCTTGCAGCAGTAGCAGCTGTTGAAGCTGGTCCGCCCCTAGAATCTCAAGCTGTTGCATCAGCTGCATCAGCTTCTGTAGCCGCTGAAGCTGCTGTATTCTGTGAAGCAGCAATAGCTGCCGCAGTAGCTACAATATTTGCTGTAGCGGTTGAAAATGCTGCAGCAATTGCAGCATTTTTTCCTGTTGCTAACGCTTGCAGTTTCCCAAGCTTCTGAAGCTGGGATCGCTACTGCCTCTGCCACACACAGTGCTGCTACTGCTACTGTTGCTTCACAGTATGAATCATACCAGCTGTGTGTGCATGCATCCATGCACCCGTGCATCTATTCATCCATCCATGGGCCATGCACCCATGCATCCACGCATCCACACACACATCCACAGACACACATCCATGCATCTACACATCCACACATACATGCATCCATGCATACATGCATACACGCATGCATCCATCCATCCATCCATGTGTCTATGCATTCGAGCTTCCACACATTCATAAATACATGCATGTGTGCATCCATCCATGCATCCGTATATGCACACAAGCATCTATAAACCCATGATTCCAAGAATCCATGCGCCCATCCATTCATGATTCCATGCATCCACGTACGTATGCATGCTCCTTTTTTACCGTCATTTGCTGCTTTCATTGTACATCTTGATCATTCTCAGAAGTGAAATCTTGGCATGCAATGCAAGCACCACGGAGCAACAGAGAATTCCTCTGCAATCAGCGGGCACGAAACCTTTATTGATTGCACTGCAAGCACTGAACTCCGAACCTCAACTGCATTACAAGCGCCGTAAATAAACTCAAAACATCTTTTAACTGCACTACTAGGACAAGTCGCACGTTCTGCTCTGCTCTGCTCTGCTCTGCAAGAAGGTTACCAAGTTTTTGTTCGAGTCTTAGGCAAGGATGAAGTTTGACTATCGAGAGGATTGGTACAAAGGAGAAACATAAGGGGTTGTACCCCACAGTGAGTACCCCACTAAGCCTACCCAAACGATAAACATACATATATGCTTGACACACCCCCATAGGCCAAGTGGGGGAGAACAGAGGGTCACAAGACCAGTCAGGAAATGCAAAGCAAGCTCAGGGTGGATCACAACGTCACCACGTAGTCCGAGCACCAGCAAAAGGCCACAAGGCCAGTTCACAACAACACAGTGATCTCTACCTAGCAGAGCAAGCAAGCAGGTATATATATATATATATATCACAGTACAAACAAAGTCTACAGCAAGTGAGGAAAAGTGGGCACAAGGCCTAATAAAGTGCAGAAACGCTGATGATCACCAGACGGAAGTGCCTTGGTGAATATATCAGCAGTGTTGGCCCGAGTGGCCACGTGAGCAAGACGAAGCTGACCACGCTGCTGCAACTCTCGAGCCAGGAAGTAATGCAGAGCGATGTGCTTCGTTCTGTGCTCCAGTCTGTGCTCCTGTCACAAGGCAATGGCGGCCTTGTTGTCGACGTACAGCACTGGAGGAGAACGAGGCCGCTCTCCCAAGTCGGTCAGCAGGTAGGTGAGCCAGCGTAACTCCTGTGCAGCCATGGCTGTGGCGTAGATCTCAGCCTCACAACTGGAGCTGAGAACAGAAGACGAGCGTGTAGAACGCCAAGAAACTGAACCAGAGCCAAGGCTGAAGGTGTAACCCTGTGACGACCGCTGCGTAGCCTGGTCGTCAACCCAAGAAGCGTCTGAGTGCCCAGTGAGGACAACTGCACTCCGCCCTCCAAGCACGAGCCCCATGCCCGATGTACCGCACAAGTAGCGCAGTACCCTCTTCGCAGCATCCATGTGCACCTTTCGGTGCCGACCAGGAGCCACGTAGCGAGCCAGAAGGCCAAGAGGGTATGCAAGGTCAGGTCGAGTGCAGGTCATCAGGTACATGAGGCAGCCCACTAGCTCTGGATACGGGCCACTCGGCTCTACGGACTCGTCCGAAGGTGGAGCTGAGAGCGAGTGGCCTGTAGCCAGAGGAGTGTGCTGTGGCGAGGACCAGGTAAAGCTGAAGCGCTGAAGGACCTGCTGCACCATGTGTGACTGAGTCAGTGTGATGGTGTGGCGTGCTCTGTCCCGGGTGATCTGCAAGCCAAGGTAGCTGCGCAGTTCACCCAGGTCTGTGCACGTGTGTCTCTTCTGCAGCTCCGACTTCACCAGGGCGAGAGCCTCAGTGTCAGCAGTGGCAAAGACCAAGTCGTCGACGTACACGAGGATGTAGAACGGCGGCAGCGACGTGTCGGTGCGCAGAAAGAGCGACGGGTCAGCAGTCGACGGAGCAAACCCAAGAGCCGCAAGTGTAGTCCTCAGTGTGTCGTGCCACTCACGTGGTGCCTGGCGGAGACCGTAGACTGGCCGCCGGAGGCTCCACTGGGTACCAGGAGGGAACGACCCAGTGAAGCTAGGAGGGCGGCGCAGCCAGATCTCCTCGTGCAGGCTGCCCTGTAAGAAAGATGTGCTGAAGTCAAGAGAGTGAAGCTCGTAGTCACGCTGGGCGGCAACGTGCAGCAGCACCCGAAGAGTGGTCATCTTCGGGGTGGGGGAGAAGGTCTGAAAGAAGTCTACTCCCTCTCGCTGACTAAAACCTGGAGCAACGTAGCGAGCCTTGAAGACAGGCGGAGAACCTGGCGGCCGCTTCACCCTGAAAATCCACATGCCACTGACGATGTTCGCCTCAGGAGGGGGAACCTCGTCAACGTAAGTGCCTGTGGACTTCCAGGATGCCATCTCTGCGTCCATGGCTGTCTGCCACTGAGAGGAGTACTCACCCGCGCTCGCCTCAGCGTAAGAGCGCGGGGTCGGGATGTCTGGAGCATCCGGGTCTCCCTCAGGGGCAAGCAACATGGACACGAGATGAGGCGCAGCGGCTGCAAGACACTCAAGGTCCTCCTGCCTGTCCTCAAGGACGTCCGTGCTAAGAGCACACTCACCCCCGACGGACGGAGGACAGACAGACTCAGACTCAGCAACAAGACTAGCGGCGTAGTCTAGACGACAGGCAGCAGCAAAGTCAACAAGCTCAGCAACAAAGGCAGACGCAGCAGCAGACTCAAACGACGGATCAGTGACAACTGTGGCTAGCAGACGCGTGACAGTAGAGTGAGCAGCACGGGTGCGGTCAGACTCAGGCTCAGGAACGGTAGGCAGAGAAGACACAGGAGGGGACGGCAGGGGAACACGCTGCGGAGGAGAGGAAGGACGACGAACTGCGAGGTGGGTGCCGGGGACAGCCGGCTGACGCGAACGAGGAACACGACGACCGGAACTACGAGAACGGACAGGCGAGACAGGACGCGACGCAGGCTCACGATGCTCAGTAAAACCCCCTGTCTGCTCAGTGTAAGGAGAAGGAGTAGGCAGCGGTGAGCCAGGCTGTAACGGAAGACCAGAAGACGAAGGGAGACAAAGAACCTGGCGAAGCACAGAGTCAGGCGGTGGCTGAGACGACGGAGACGGTGGAGCGAAGAATAGGCGCGGCTGTGCAGTGCCACCAGCACCAGCAGCTCCAGCACCCCCAGCAGCTCCAGCACCTCCAGCAACTCCAGAACCCTCAGCGCCAGCTCCTCCAGGACCAGCTCCACCAGCAGCAGCACCCCCAGAACCAGCACCTCCAGTCCCAGGGTCTCCAGCCTC